TATATCAACCTTAAGGAGAATGTGTTTTTATTAATAGTTTTTCCCTTTTTTTTTTTTTTTGTTTATTTAATGTCTGCAAGACAGACAATTCGCATTCCCTTATTAGTAAGCCATTTGATTGCTGATGTATGATAAGAGAAAACAGAAAACAGAAAACAAAACGAAACGAAAAAGTAAACGTATATTGCTTTTAATTGAACACACCTATAAAAATTCATTCATACAAAGGCATGTGCGCAATAGCAAAGTCAAGGGGCACCTATGTAACTTTTACTCCATAAATTGTTACTAAATGGAGCACCAATAACACTAACAATAATGCAATGCAACGGAATGACTAAGACAATTAACAGAGGGAAACATATATAAATTTATTTTTTCACTTTTAATTAAATTCAATTTGAAAAGTATTGAGATAAATTAAAGTACATAAGGTAAGGGAGAAATTGCAGTTTATTAACATTTTTAAATATTTTATATAATGAAAAAGTTAATAATCCGGCAAAATAGGAAAGAATGATAAATTGATTGGAAGGATTTTTTTAGGCCGAAAAATCGAAATATAGAGTCAAATGAAACCGCCCATCACATATATTATTCGAATGAAGTCTTAATGCAATGTGAAAAATGTTAATAGGTTAGAAGACATTAAGGAATGTTTTTTTGAGTGACATGAAATAAATTTCTAGTAAGGAATGAATTCATTACAGTACGTTTGCCTTGTGTTGGAAGCCTTGTAATTCATATTCTGTTTAGATGGGCGTAACTTGTCCATTTACATTTTATAACGTTGCGAAAATGAAGATCAAAACTTTTATTTTCGGCTACACACTATGCACGGCAAACAATATCAGTGATATACAATGGATAAGAAACGCGACCCATACAATTAAAAACCTACCACCTATCGAAAGAAACAATGAAGGAGTTGATGAGATGCTGAAAGAAATATAGCGCCGCAGACGATATCTGGCCGTTCACGTGAACGAACGGAGGCTGGCAATCCTTGCCTGGAAGCTATCCAACGAGTGTACCGAACGACTGAGAGGGGCACACAGAGAAGAAGACTGCGCCCAACACTCTAAGACACTCGTAGGCATCGTCACAGGATTTGTACTCATCTCCGCAAAAAGCATTGTGAAGCGTTGAAAGTAATCTGTTCTCTAATAGGACTGTAGGGTTTTCTTAATTTTCTCATTTAATCCTCCTGGAATTGCCTGTCTTTGGAACAATCTATTTGCTGTGGACTTTCGTGCCAGATGTTTTCACTTTCTAGTCGATCGCACACAAATATTAATCCCTCTCTCCTTCCTCCTCTCCTTATAATCTTTCCTGACTAAAAAGCAAAACCAAGCAAAAACATAATGTTCGATTGTAGCCGAATCTGTTATACCCGCCATCGTCATTAAAAAAGAAAATTGCAACAAACACACACAACGATACTCTATCATCAATATTGGGCGAACGCAGACGAAGGTAAAACGATTTACCCATCTGTTGTAGCTTTTAAGTAATTAGCGCAAAACTAGATTTTTTTGCTTACACTGCTCTTTCGTCGACTTAGCCCGCTGTCTAAACCAGTCTGTGTAAAAAAAATTTCCCACATTTCTGACGAATTTGATGCCGATATCTTAAACTCTACGACCGCGACTACGTCTATCTCACAGAAACACGCAGAGAGACAGGGGGATGTACATATCTACATCTATTCAAAATTCAGTACTGTTCAAGTATGTCTATGTTTTATATCTTATATGCCCTGAAGGTTCCTTGTGAGTGTTCTAAACGCTTTGAACGTATCACCTAACCTTCGGAGGTTAGTCTAAAATAAAAGTTCGTAAAAGTGACAATGAAATCAAAAGTGTTAATAAGATTCGTTGATATAGGCGTTCACAGCAGATATCGATGTGAAATTGATGTCCACGGCCAAGTTGTGAAAGTTGAAACGGAAAGTCAGAAATGAAAAAAGAAACAAAAGACTCAGCGCCAATAGTGAATTAAGACGACCCTGCCTGTTGACTTTTGTTCCTCATCACCTTAAAACTGCGGCTGGCCATGTTTGTCCATCCTTCCGTCCATTCACCATTTGGTTTTTGTTAGCTGGAACCCTTATAACAGAGAATTAGGATTTAGATCAATATTTTGTATGAATTATCCTGACGGAGCTTTGCTGCTGAAGAGCTGGGTTTTAGATCAATACTTTCTATGAATCACTCTAACTGAGTGTGGTTGCGGTCCCGTCACCATCATAGCACATCCGTAAGTAATGCAGATAAAGGAGATAACTACCAAAGATTTAATCCATGGGTAAATTTTTTCCCATGAACATTGTCTTATTCTTATTATTGGCTTCGTTACTTAAGCATGAATATGCATTCATAACTGCCTCCAGTTGAATGTGAAACTGAACACACTTTCATCGTTAGATGTAAAAATGTTACACAAACACAGTTTGTTGTCATATTTTGAAGTTACTAAGCTATTTACAGTGCTTTAAACGTACAACATGTGGCCCATTTATGTGATTTTTTTTTCTCTTTCTTGAAGCATTTTGCCCGTTGTATATGCCACACACAATCATAACCTGAGCAACATGTACATATTTTCATAGATATTTTGTTAAAATTTTTATTTTCCGAAAACAACCACAAATGATCGCATTTGTGTTTAAACACACATATATTGCATTCGATTTGAGTGCATTATAAAAACAAAAAAAAAAGAGAGTAACAGTTTGTGGTCATACACACGCACATATTTATAAACACATTAATATGCCTCCGTCTGTCTATAATTTTCTTTGTGGTTTTTCAATTCAACTAAATTGCTTTTCTTCATACGCTTACATATATTACATGCCATAGAAGTTTGTTTCAAAATTTTATGCTTAACACATTTCGTAGTCCGCATTAGTCCGTTGCAGTATATAGAAAATGCTTAGCATAAAATGCCTATCGCAGGAGGTGCTTATCAAATATTTGTAGCCCTAGTGAGATCCTATGAAAACTCTACCTGCAAATTTTTCCTAATATCAACCCTGCACATAAATATTTGTCTCTGCCCTTACCCTCTAAGTAAGTGATTCCCTATAGTTTAAAAAAAAAAACTTGTATATATTCCTCATTACCACCGACTACAGACTTGATTTACTTATGTCCGCATCACGATATTTTTGATCTGTCAATCTTTTCATGTCTCGAAAACATTGAGTGTTGCCTCAACTTGTGTCTCTGCGCCTTTATTAAATCAAGCCCGAAAATCATTTTTATGGATTGCAATAGGGACACAAGTTCGCTTATAAACGAGCCCATGGTCTTTGCATCTGATAAATATTATATATCATTATAGGTTCATCTATGAATGGCGCGTTAACATTTTCTAACATAAGGATAGTATATTATTTTTAAACGTTGCGAGCTTACTTTAAACATTAAAAGTGTTCCACTTCTGTTCGTTGGGTTTAATGAGATTTTCAATTTTATCATCATACGCCTCAACAACGTTTTTTATTCAAATTCTTTATCGCATAATTGCATTGATACTGCATTACAGTTTTGTATTATTTTGCTTACGCTTACTTAGCAGGTTTCGTTAACAATCTAATCATATGTTTTACTTCTTCTTTTCCTTCTTGTTTCTTTCTATTGCCTTTGACAGTCATGTGTTCAAAAATAAAAACCAGAAAAATAAACGGGGAGTGTTACAAGATTCGGTATAATTCGACCATAATAGCTTTCTTGTTTATTTTTTTTATTTTTTTATATATATATATATATTTTTTTTTTTTTTTGATATTTTATGACTATTATGCAACATTGGATTTGTGCATACTGTTCGCACGAATTAAGTTTAAAGTTTCTTTTAAACGTTTAATAAAAGTTAAGCAAGATACTTTTCGCTTATAAAAAAGGTTAAGAAATTAAGTTAAAACATTATTTGAATGAATTATTATAATCTTTTGTTATTAACGAAATTTTATATATTTTTTTTTTTTTTTACTGATCAAAAGGTTTATTAAAATATAAAAAAATGATCATCAACAAAAAGTCTTAGATACAAAAATTCATAAAGAAAATTGAGTAGAGTTAAAAGGCAACCTGTGCAACAAAAAAACCGAAAAGAAAAAAATTGAAAGCTTAGGGGACTTATTATCTGTCTTGAAAACTCATAATCGCTAATCTTCTTTTAATCCCGTCGAATATTACATTTGCCTTATCCCATGAGTAATCTGGCCTTACGCCGATTTTGATCAGTGATTAAAATTTTTACAGCCAAACCATTCTTTTCGTCTGAACCATTTTAAAAATAGACGAATTTTAATAATAAACCCGTAAATCCATTCAATCCATTATATGCCAATTATATTCTATTCTATTAGCGCGCATGAGACCCAAGTATCCCGTTTCGTTGCCATTTCAAATACAAAAGAATTCTCGAAATAATTAATTGTTCAATTTTAAGGTTAAATTTAGGACCATGATGAATTAAAGCGACTTTTCATCCGCCCCGTGGTAAATGTAGCGCAACTTAGAGAACAAGGTCAGAATAGCGAAATTTCACAAGCGAGTTCCGACAATTTTGTGGTCCTTCGTTCGGTCTGTGATTTAATAATTTAGTTTCGTATACATCAGGAACTGCGATGCATGAGTCGTCTCTAAGAATATCTTTACTAAACCAGGAATGGAATCAATTTCTAAAAAGTTCAAAGTTCAGTCTTTTCATACTCCGGCTAACTAACCTCACCTATTAGCTCCAATACTTTTCATACTATCTAATATTTCGAAGGCCGTATCTCTCTACAAAAAAGCAAAATTAATATATTTCGCAATAATTTAATTAGTTTCCAAAGTACTATCTATGGCTCTCTCTTTCTACACTTTGCTGATAATGAATTTAAAATTTTTTTTTATTTTAATGTTGAAAAAATATTTATTTTTATTTTTATATTTTTATGTTTTTGTTTTTTTTTTTTTTTCAAATTATTATTTATGTTTTTCTAGGATTCTTACTCAAGTGAACATATCGGCGAAGTTTATCAAGACGAGGACAACATGGCGGCCGTATTAATGAGACGCCACGAAGTGACAGGCGATCTAGTTATGGTAAGTTTTAAATGATAAGATCATAAAATATCGTATATAAAATCGAGTTTTTAATGCCAAATATTTAACAAAAAAAAAAAAAAAAAAAAAAAAAAAAAAAAAAAAAAAAAAAAAAAACAAGAAAAAAATCTCTGCAATAAATCGAAACAATTCCTAATAGCAAATAAGAGAAGGAACATACAAGCAAAAAAAAAAAAACAATACTTCTATTATAATAATAATAATTGATTTAGAGACCATGAACTACAATACACCACGTTATACAGTGCAGATGGCAAAGAACTGTACATAAATGAACGTAACGAACAAGTGTTAAATAGATGATGTCAAACGACAATAATGGCAACGACAAAGCAACGCTATTTAGAATGCTTTTGTATAAGACAAACTATTTTAAATATTTTCATAAGCAATTAATTCTCTTGCCTTTTCGAATGCATTGAAATAATAGCGAAACATAAACGATATAATGTTCAGTATAGATCGAATCTTGCCATGCCCATCATTTGGTTTCTTGGGTAACTAACAAACTCATATATCAATCTAATATACTAGAGAAGTATTTTCATCATTTTAATATTAAGCTAATAGCAAGCAGCCTATCATCACCGCATAAGCAGACTGCTCCGATAGCATATCCTTACCGAACTACATACATACAGGCATACAGGCTGAACATACAAAATCCGAACATTAGCATATGACATATCGAAGGATTGCATGTAACAAAAACAACAAAGTTGATCATGAAACGGACTTGAAATGTTCAAGTTTTTTAAAAGTATTTGCATGCGAGACTAAACAGAGACAATTACAAGACTTTAAGGGGATTATCGAGTTTAGGGAGGAAGAAATGACATGTACGAGTAAGTGCAGATGTTTGGGCAAACACCACTAAATAATAATAACTTAGGTAAACCAGCGAACAGATTCGATCGATTACCTTGCCACTTAGCCTAATACCCGCACAGACATAGATTTTAAATGAAATTTTTTTTCTTCTAAGCAAAACTGACAGACAGGCGGATGTGTTTAAATCAAATCTGCGCAAATCATTTTCATCACACAGCGCGCACAGTTAATAAGTACTTGAAAAAAAAATTTCCATTGCATATTTCCATGCGTTGCAAATATTCAACAAATTTAATATACCTCCTGGGGAGGCTTCAAAGCAAAAAAAAAAAAAAGAAGCAAATTACCACCGAACCCAAAAGCATTTGTCCATTTTTCTGCATTGGAAAAATGTGTAACACGAATGAAGTGGGAAGTGATAATTAAAGAGACAATGCACAATGTTTTCTTTTTTTTTTTTTTTTTATTTACTTAAGACATTGTTTAAAATCTTGATTTGTTTCTCAGTTCTTTATTAAATTAAATTGTTTAAAAAAAAAAAGCAAAAACAACACTAACTCGCTTCATATTGTTTTATATTAAATCAGATAAAAAGAATTATTGTTTCAAACTTTGTTTTTTTAGAAAAAAATAAAAAAATATTTGTTGTTTTGTTTTAATATCTTACAAATTATTATTGTTGTTGTTGTTGTTGTTATTGTTGTTTTAATAATGTTTTTAACATTGTTTAATTGACCTTGATTTTGAGTTGATTGCTTAAAGAACTAGATTTTCTTTAATATATTACTTTAATAAATAATTTGCGTTTATGGCTAAAAAACTACTAACGACCACAAACACCAACAATGTTTTATTATTACTACCTTGACCAATTTTCTTTTATTTTTCTCTCTTTTACATTTAAGTACTTTAACAATCGAAACCTCTTGTAGGGCGTAGATATGAATGACTAAGGACAAATCTTTGCAAACAGCTTCTCAGATAAACTCAAGAAAGTTGCCTTTGATGCTAATATGGTTATGAATAGTTTCGATAATTTCGTATTGAGAGAATCTTTAGCACTGCTCTTTTTATATTAGAAGTTCTCCTTCTAAACGCTAGACCAGATAAAATACAGATACCCACAAATGACTTAATTATTCATTTTTACTATGATTCGAATGATGACTTCTTTATATGGCATAAACAAGATTCGACCTTCAAGTTTTAGGCAAAAGGCATAGGAGAGCCAAAACTATACCTCTCACTAGTCAGTTATTTTTCAAGCCCACACAAAGGAAAGAAGAAAATTGTGAAAAAGTATTTAAAGCCAAAGCAAAAAAAAAAGCAGAACTTTTGACAAAACTACTGTAGACTATGTCTAAAAATATTAGAGATACAAAGACAATTAAAAGAAAGGCGAATAGGTAGGAATCGCGACTATCAAGTCGGCTTTCACGAGCTGCAATCTCATATGCGGCAGATTTTCTTTTGTTCGTAGCTGCAGCGAGTGGTTCCCACCAGACCAACTCTCTATCTCTAGCCATCAACGTGTCCCTTAAGTGATTGGATATAATAGACAAAACAATTGCTCGCTAGTCAAAGGAAGGGTTAGAGAGCTGCAATGGAAATTGCAAATTGTAAGTATACCGGCAACGCAAGGGCGAAGAGTTGAACACCAACACAGTTTAGTTCGTGATTAGAAAAACCGCTTCCTATATAGACGTTGCCTATTTATTATAAAATTTACAAAGTTTATAAGCAAAGAGCATCCTAAGCAAAATTATTGAAAGCTTTCCCATGATGTTCAATTGCAACGCATAGAACGAACAATCATAACACGGGACACGAACGTATTGTAGAACGACATGATCTGTTGAGCTAAAATTACTTTGTTGACGTAAATAATACATTGATCAATAACTCGCGGGGCTAAGTAAAGAAAGTAATTTTTTTTTTCCCCAAAATACATTCATCAACATAGTCTCTTTCAAGGGTAATACAATTAATCCAACGCATTTGCAACATTTCCATATCTTTCTTATAAAACGATTTGTAATTTCATTTTCCCCCAATGGGCGAATCATTTAATCCAAATTTTTCTCTGGGGCCTGCTTTTGAAGTTTGCAAACAGATAATAGGCCGAGTGTTAAGTGAAAATTTTACCTTAGTAGGCATCGATTTGTTACTGAAAATTTCTGTTACGGTACGCAAGTAAACGCAACCTACAACGTGCGGTCAGCTATCCCAAGGCTAATTCGTGGTAAAGTGTGTGGCAGACCCATTCTTTGGACATGTTTATGGCTTCTGCTATTTCTCTAACCTTAATTTGACGGCCGCCAAGCATCATTTGGTGAATTTGAGCGATAGTTTTGGGTTGAGCGATTACAGTTTTCGGTTACTCCCCCTCGTTCATCGTTACCCAATCTGGAAGAGACACTTTTTAACCCAGCTCTCATATATTCCTGTTGCAAATGGATATACAAAAGCTACCTAGAGTTCAAATCCACTCGACTTACCCACATTGTCTTTCAATATCTGCAGGTAGCTCTTGCAAGTTTGCTTTTTGTTTGTCGAGAATAATTTTTCGGATTTTCTTGATGTTTTCTCACTTTTTTTTTTTTTGGGCGTTCACTGCATTTAACATTATGGAGTTTGCTTAAGATCAACAACACTGTATGTAATTCCTTTCGCCGGACAGCAATTGTCATAAGATTTTTCAATAAAACCAAGCACTGACCTCCATTCCTTGAATTAAGGTTTTCCTATCTTTCTATTATCGATGGAAAGACTATGCCAGTGCACTACACTTATATTACCTGCATTTCCCTTTCACTGCTTACTTTTGATAAGTACTTTGCTTTCTTTATTACGTAACACAACTGTAAGCCAACCTTCAAATTTTTCTTTTTCATGATCAATTGAGACATTCATACTACAAGCTAGAAAAAAAAAAAAAAAAAAAAAAAAAAAACAAAAAAGAAAGATTAAGTATAAGATGGTAAATTCAGGTGCATGACCAAAGTATGCCTTATAATAATCACTTATTTTCCTATTAGACGGTCATGCGTTTATGTTTTTCATTCAATAAATCTCAGAAGTCTATAATTTTTTTGTTTACGTAAATTTAGCGCAAATAGAAAGTCAAAATACTCTATAAATGGATATGCATTGAACAGTCGATATATAGCGATCTCAGTAACCGCAAGCGGAGAGCTTATAAAAATGAACCAACACATATGCGCATACCATGAAAATTGTTAAAAATTGCATCATTAGCTTTCTGGTTTTTTTCCTCTTTTTCTTTCTTCAATCTTTTATTATCTTTAAAAAGAAAAAAATAACCACATAAAACAAATGAGAGAAAAACTGTATTCGGCTTAAAGCGAATCTATTGATGCCTACCATGTCCTATAATATAAGAAAGCAAGCAAAGAAATTTCAATCTTTCCTTTACGCTGAAAATAGAAATCTATTTTGATTTTAATAGGAATTATCAGCATTTGCGAGCCTTTGCTGTGAGGTGATAAAATTTCAATTACATTGATATCAAAAGAAAGCTCGTGAGTTTTTTTCACTAAAATTCAAACAAAAATTTCTTTTACACATTAGATGAACCTTATAAAGTCAGGCTTGAATGGGGCTCGGCAGATAATGTTTCACAGATTTTTCGCTGAAAGCTTTCGGCAATCGCTTTAGAAGTTCTGAAGTTGAGAAACATTGAACAGCCTTCTCTTGAGATCAGCCTCAGGTCATTAGATGAACCCTATGAAGTCATTTATGAACGCGGTTGACAGATAGCGTTTTACAAATTTTCTCCCGATTGCATTAGACTATCGCTTTAGAACTTGAGGAATTGACAAAAATTGGATAGCCTTCTCTTGAAGCCAGCCTCAGGTCATTAGATGAACCCTATGAAGTCAGCGGTTGATAGATAATGTTTTGCAAATTTTCCGCGAAAAGCATTAGGTTATCGCTTTAGAACAATTGAATAACCTTCTCTTGAACCCAGCCTCAGGTCGTTAGATGAACCTTATGAAGTCATTTATGAATGCGGTTCGACAGATAGCCGATAGCCGATTGCATTAGGCTATCGCTTTAGAACTTGAGGAATTGAGAAAAATTGGACAGCCTTCCCTTGAAATCAGCTTCACCTCATCAGGGAAATT